ATCATCCCATGGGAGAGATGCACGTTCAACAAGATTAAGCTATGATTCTATTTTTTTTTACTATAGACGTGTTTCGCTTATTTTTATTTGTCCCTATCTATTAGTGGGAACGTATTGAAAGAACGAATAGATGGATTGAAGAATAAAAACTCAAATACAAGGAGAATTAGATTTTTTTTAAGGAATTACTTAGTTTTTCCACTCTCTTTGATTATCATATACGAAGAATCTATTCCCCTTTCCTACCAAATTAGAACCAATAAATGGGGCCCGCACTAATTCCCCAAAATTTCTTGATTAGGTTTACTTATTGGTTGTAAAACTATTGTTTTATAACTAAACAATTATTAATTACGATTCATATCTCATAGAGTTGTGATCAGACTAATTTTATGAATTCATAATACTTTTAATCCCTAAAATATGTGTGTTTTAGTCCCAAAGTATTCAACTCATGTATAAATAGTGTCAAACTAAACAATTCGTTACGTTTTTTGACAGAAATTATCACGTATTATTCTTTTAGACTGTATCATATGACCAACATATGATCACTTTCGTAAAAAATTTAACGAACCAAATTAACACGAATTAAATATTTTTAGGACCAGATTAATAAATTTAATATAATGGGGACTAAAGTGACAAAACGTGTATATTTTAGTGACAAAAAAAAAAACTATTATTTTTAAAGTTATGACAAGACAAAAATAAAACTTAAAATAGATCCTAAAATATTAGGATAAATCTCAAACAATCTCACTTATCCTAATGTCATCAAATTCAAATCAATTGCAGGATGAGAATTATAAAGTCGAGATTTATACATAGTTGTATCACCACTTTTCTAGTCCACATGGATAACCTTAAACTAAACGTACGATGATGCAAGCAAATCTAATGGTCATGCAAAATCATCGGAAATGTTAGCACCAAATCCTAGATCGAAATATACCTATTTGTTAATCTGAATTCAATCACACAAGTTTCAAGTGAGTTATATCTGCTGTGTTTAAAGAATTGTGTAATGGATAAAAAGTTATGGACTCAGACGATTTAAATAATCTACGATATTAAATTGAGATAACCACTTTTAGCATTGCACAAACAAGTATACATAGCTTTATCCTCTTGGAAGAATCCTATATATATATATATATATGTGTGTACCCAAATCATTTCATTTGTATGCACAGAATTACTTCAACTTAAAGAGTGTCAAACACGTCGGATTAAACAGTTACGTATTGGATTAAACGGTTATGTATCGAATTAAACGTGTGACGGGTGAAAATATGTAAATTCATACACGATATGTTTAATAAATGGATAAAAAAATTTAATACGAACAGGACCCGTTTAATAAATGAGTAATACGACTCGACTCGTTTAACCTATTTAATTTTTAAAAAATTATATCAACAAATTTTAATACTCCACTTTTTTTTACTGTCAATTGCACTAACCTAAAAAAAGAGGAATTTTTAGTCAAATCCCATAAATATAAGACTTGAAGGCTTAAAAAAAAAACAAAAGACATTGATTTACCTTTGTCTTTGAAGTGTTCTCTATCTCCTCTCATTTGTCTTTAAATTACTACTTTATTTCTTCTTTTTTTTATAATTTTTTACTTTTTTTTTTCTTGCTAATTTTTTAAAATAATTATTAATTTATTATTATATTAATTTTATTTAAACGGGTAAACGTGTGATAAACGATTTGACAGATCTCACCCGAACACGATTCGTTTATTAAACGTGTTTGACGTGTCAACCCGTTTATAACTCAAACCCGCTTAATTCGTGTCGATTTGCATCGATTAATCGTATCGTGTCGAATTTTGACAACCCTATTTGTAGTTAACCAACTGTGCAAGAAACTTAAAGATTTGCAAGAATGCAAACTCAGTCCCATGGCTATCATCAGAGTAATTACCCCAATTCATGGGGTTTTTAAAAAGTATATCCAAAAGATAGTTGGTTTTAAAATATTTTTCAAATTCATGCACTAATAAAAACGTTAATTAGAATAACGTTTTTATGCAAAAGATATGAGTTGAAGTAACGTTTTTAGCATAAAAACCCAGCCCTACTGACATTTTTTTGTTCAATATGAAGCCTATTTAGAAGACCTAAAAACGTCATTTGTACAGACGTTTTTAGGTGACGGTGGCTCAGGCGACCAAATGGTTTTGCATTATAGATTCTTTGAAATATGCCTTTTTGATGCCAAATGGGTCATCAACTTTGAAACATGTATTTAGCGGAAATTTTTTTGACACATATTGCTTTATTTGTAATTTAACTTCATTAATTTTATGAAAAATTATATGCATTTTAAACTTTATTTTTTATTTTTTATTATACAACTAGCCTGGTCAATTGACCTAACAGTTGAACCGATAAACTATTGACCCAATCTATTTTTTTTTTCTTCAAAAGTTATTGTTGGGCGGGATTTTTTTTTTCTGACACATGTTTAATGTTGTTATCAAACGGCATTATAATCTATAATATAGGAGGTTTCCATCTATGTCAAGATCTCCAAATAACATGGACTATTTCACCGGTCGAACAAAATGTAAAATACAATCTTGCATGTCTTGAATTCGGATCATTCCAATCATACAAAACTCGGGTACAATTGATGAACTTAGGTAATATGTGATTATATGCATCCGAAATTTATATTACGGCCAAAAGTACAACAATAATGTAATTCTCATACAAATAAAAAAATAAATAAAAGGGTTAATGCTACAAGGTTATAAAGTTGGATAAGTTTTCCACATGCGTAAAAGTAGACCTGACAATTCTAGACACGACTCGTGAAATCGACACGAATTTAGCGGGTTTGAGTGTAGTCTTAACGGGTTCGAATGATTAACGGGTTAACTCGGCAGACCCGTAAAATAAATGAATTGGTTTCATGTTTAACCCATAAACTCGTTTCAACCTGTTAATAGTTGTATTACAATTTTTTTTTTTAACAAGTTAGGTGTCTGAGCCTCTGTCTCATCTCACACCTCCTATCTCTTAAACTCATTCAAATTTAGTAGTCATTTAATCTTTATTTTTTTGCTCGACCTTGATTTATTATTTTAGTAAATAAGTCAAATATGTGTAATGTGTAGCAAATTGATAATTTTTCGTGTGTACTCGAAATACTCTAACTTATTATCTTATTTAACGGGTGACACACGGGTTATATCAGATAACCCGTTTAATAATGATTCATGTATGAATATAATAGTTAGACTCGTTTATATAATTGAATGGGGTACGAATTAAAGATTTTTTGACATAAATTCATTCCAGTTGACACGAAATCGTTACACTCAACATAATTGTCATGCCTATATAAGAGATAATCACTTAATCTCATAAAATAAAAATTTAGCTTTTAAACGTGGTTCAATTATTTGGGGTGCTGTGGGGAGGGGGGGTTGTTAAAGGCTTTTAAACGTGGTTCAATTATTGTAGACGTGGTTCAATTGTCTCTATCTATTAGCGAAAGCTCGAGGAAGGAAAGCTCGAATATAAAGACAACCGGTCCTTTCCAAATAATTACTTAGCTTTTCCACAACCTTAATTATCATGTACAAAAATTTCTTCCACTTTCCGACCAAATTAGGACCAATAAATGCTACCTGCACTTGATTAGGTTTACTTTTTGACCGGAAAATTATCATTTTATAATTAAACAATTATTAATAACGATCCATATCTCATAGCGTTGTGATTAGAGTCACAATAAAATCATGGGTTTATAGTACTCTTAATCTTTAAAATATGTATATTTTGTTATTTCGGTCCTAAAAGTATTTAACTCATATTTAAATAGCTCCTAATCAAATAATCTGTTGCGTTTTTTTACGAAAATGACAACGTGTCTTTCTTTCAAATTATATCATATAACTAACACGTGATCATTTTTATTAAAAATTTAACAGACCAAATTAACATGAATTAAATATTTTAACGACTAAATATTATTATACTTAAAGTTATGACAAGACAAAAATAAAACTTAAACTAAATCCTTAAATATTAGGATAGATGTCAAACAATCTCACTTGTCTTATGCTCTGTTTGATACAATGGAAAAGTGATAAGATGAAAAGTTGAAAGAATAAAAAGTTGGAAGAATAATTAAAACATCATGTTTGATAAGGAAGGAAAGTAGGAAGGATGAAAAATTGGATGGATTAACTTTCCTTCCAACTCACCAAAATCAATCTCTCTAAAATCGGAAGGAAAGTGGATGGAAAGTTAATTATTTGTATTGAGATATATCTTATTTGTCTATATATCTTTATATATATATTAAAAAAATTTAAAAATAAAATTTAAAAAATATATATTTTTTCTATCTTAACTAAAGATAAAAATTTTCGACTCAACATGATAACACGACTCGAACTTAATACGAAAATAAACAGGTTAACTCGCAACTCGACATGACATAATTAGTTAAATGAGTTAAGTTAGGTTTGACTAATATTTGACACAAATTCGTAATAATTCAACACGAATCTGACACGACACGACTCAATTGTCATCCCTAATTTAAGTCAGCACAAAGAAAAAAAAATACTCATTTTTTTTTTCATCTATCTAACCAAACACAAAGGAATAAAAATGTATTCTTCTACTTTTCATTCTTATTTTCATCCTCCTGTCAAACAGAGCATTAATATCGTCAAATTCAAATCAATTGCAGGATGAGAATTATAAAGTCGAGATTTATACATAGTTGTATCTCCACTTTTCTAGTCCACATGGATCACCTTAAACTATCCGTACGATGATGCAAGCAAATCAACGGAAATGTTAGCACGAAATAGACCGAAATATACCTATTTGTTAATCTGACTTCAATCACAAGTTTCACGTGAGATATATCTCTCCCTATATATATGTGTACCCAAATCATTTGTATGCACAGAATTACTTGCAAGAAACTTTAGAGCTTTTGCAAGAATACAAACTCTCAGTCCCATGGCTATCATCAATCTGTTTGTAGTTGTACCCACTGAACCAAAATTCTTCAGGACTTTCACTAGCCAGCCATGGCCTCCAAGAACCTGTACCTTGTGCCATGCACCTACTACCACTAGCTGTGCTGGGTCTCCTGGTCTTGTACAATGCTCAGCTCTTGTCAACAAGCCATGTGATCAAGCACCCATTAGGCGATCAGCAAACTACCAACCTCCCATTTGGGCACATGATTATGTTCAGTCACTCACAAGTGATTATCAGGTGACTATCATTATCTTTGTCAACTTTCTTTTTTTTGCAATAGCAGTTGTTATAACCCCACACTAGTTGGATCAGTGATCGAATAATGGGGCGAGCTTTAAACCCTCACATGGTGACAACATAAGTCCGGGTTTTACTGATATCACCTCTGATTTGTGGATGATTACTTGTATTCGTGTTTTAAATACAATTATGAGTTCGAAAACATGTGGTTGTAATAGAAGTCGTGTAATGTTTTGTTATGTAGGGAAGTAAATATACAGAAAGGTCGGATGAGCTGAAGAGGCACATGAAAATGATGCTCGAGGAAGAAGCAGAACCACTGGACCAATTAGAGTTAATAGATAACTTGCAAAGACTAGGGGTATCTTACCAATTTGAGGATGAAATCAAGAGTGTTATGGAGAACATATACAATAATGGCAGCGATGATAAGTGGCACAAAGAAGACTTATATGCCACAGCTCTTGGATTCAGACTCCTAAGACAGCATGGTTATAATGTTTCTCAAGGTAATAGACTTGTTTTCCTTCTCCTCTTCTTTTTTTTATTCCTAGCCGGTAATTGGAGACGATCACTGACATGCACGATCACAATTCAACAACGAAGCATCACATCTAAACATCTTCCAACATAACAAAGTATCATGTGCATATGTGGGTATACCATATACATATTTGTTCGATCGTGATACCTCTTGTTAGGGATAACGCAGTATCACTGTTGTTATAAATATATATTTACTTGGTATTGGATACATGCCATCTTGTTCTTTGTATTTTGCCATCAAAAGTTGACAAACGAAACATTCTTGATTGCAGAGATATTCAACTCTTTCAGAAACAGTGAGGGAAATTTAAAGCCAAACCTTTGTGAGGATACAAAGGGAATGCTATCCTTGTATGAAGCTTCACACCTTGCAGTGGGAGGTGAAAGTGTCTTGGAGAAGGCAAGAGAATTCATCACCAAACATCTGAAAGAGAAGCTTGATGAGCAGAAAATAGATCCAAATCTTGCTATATTTGTGGACCATGCCTTGGAGCTTCCTCTACATTGGAGGGTGCCAAGGTTGGAAGCAAGGTGGTTCATAGAAATGTACGAAAAAAGACCAGAGATGAATCCTATTTTACTTGAACTTGCTAAATTGGATTTCAACGTAGTCCAAGCAATACACAGGAGTGATCTAAAATTTGCGTCCAGGTAAAAGCTTTTATACAAGTACTTCATGGAAAAATCCAGCTTACCAAAAAAATTGTGGCAAGTTACAACTCGATCGGATAAAAGTAACAACCACAAGCTTTAGACTCACCCTAGCTGAAAAAAACTTGGAATCGGTCGGAAATGGCTGGGACTACTGTCAAATTTTTTAGATCAATCCTAACTCGACCTTGGCTTCTTTCAGTCATAATTTAATTTAGTTGAATCGTAAATTTGATACAGTTAAAAATACCTTATTTTATATTGGAATTGTTTATCATATTCTGAAAATCATGCATGAGAATGTCCCTTCATCATAATTACAAACAGGTGGTGGAAGGGTACAGGCCTTGGAGAGAAGCTGAAATTTGCTAGGGACAGGTTGATGGAGAATTTCCTGTGGACTGTAGGAGTAATCTTCGAGCCTCAATACGGATATTGTCGGAGAATGTTAACGAAGATCAATGCATTGGTAACAACAATTGACGATGTGTACGATGTTTATGGTACTTTGGATGAACTTCAATTCTTCACGAATGCCGTTGACAGGTTAATATCAAAAAAGTTTAAATTCTTGCCTTTACACATAAGCATGACACTTAATTTCAACATTTCAACACGATAAGTAAACACGAAATGAACCCTACAAGTGATTAACAATCTATAAATTAACTAATTTTCAATAAAATCTCGAAAATGACATGATTGTTAAAGATGAAGAATAATTCATGAGTGGTATTCGTGTTAAATCACCTAGTGCAGTTGTTAAACTAATATGGTTAACATTAAATAGTACTCGACACGTGACACAATGATCCAAAGATGAGATCACACGACTAGATTGAGACTCCTGAAATAGACTTCATGAACTTCTTAAGGTGTGTCTCCCAATAAAAAATGTTATTTGAACTTAATTTAAGAATCTAATCAAATTGTAGTTATTGGATTGAAAGTCGGTTCCACCCAATCTTATAACTCATAACTAATTTAATGACTACATTGAATTAAGTACTCGAATTAGGTCTCTATAACATTGTTTATCTTTTAATATTGTGTTTCTATGTAATAATGCAGATGGGACATTAATGCAATGGAGCAACTTCCAGAGTATATGCAGATATGCTTCCTTGCACTCTACAACTCCATTAATGAAATGGCTTATGACTCCCTTACAGAACAAGGCGTTCAGAGCATTTCCTACCTAAGAAAAGGGGTATGTTTCTTTTAGGACTGCAAATGAAAGGAGTCGAGCATCAAATTGTTTGGACTCCGCCCATTTGTTCATAATCGATCATGACGAGTTTTAAATATCTTGTTGAAGCTTGATTTTCAAGAATTTTAGTTCAATCTCGGGCTCAGTTCGGCTGATTTAGAAACTTGAGCTCAAGTTTGTATACAAGTTCAAGCTTGAATTTTCGTTTATGCACACCTATAATATTATGTATACTATATTAAAGTTTCTGTGTCTTTAAGTTATATTTGGTGCAGTCTTTGTCATGACTCAGTATACTGTTTTTATGTTTCAGTGGGCAGATTTATGCAAGTCTTACTTACAAGAGGCGAATTGGTACTTCAATGGATATACACCAACCCTGGAAGAGTACCTTGAGAATGCGTGGGTTTCAATTTCAGCTCCTCTAATACTTGTACATCTTTATTTTTTGGCCTCAAATCCAATAACAACTGAGGCGTTGGAATGCTTGGACAAGTATCATGATATAATCCGATGGTCTTCAATGATTCTAAGACTTGCAGATGATTTGGGAACGTCATCGGTATGCATCTTATGCTGCTCTTAACTTGAGCTATGAAAATAAGGATTGCTCATACAACTATCAATGGATCGGATTTTGATCTGAATCTAAAAACAATTTATGGCATTTTTATTCGTAATTTTCATTTTCAGTATGAATTACAATCCCTAATATAGAAACTCAGATGTCATTTGCTAAAATTGAGCTTAATTAAGTTTTTTAGATTAGAGCATGTTTCGATCCATTGACAGACCTAGTTAACTATGTCAATTCGGCTTTGCTTTGACTTCAATTATTTGTTTGTTTTTTCACACACAGTACACACACGCACCATATACGCATATCCTTTGTATAACAAATTTTGAATTCTCTCTTCTTGACTCAGGATGAGATGAAAAGAGGTGATGTACCTAAATCAATCCAATGTTACATGAATCAAACTGGAGCTTCCGAAGAAGATGCACGTGAACACATACGATTTCTTATCAGAGAGACATGGAAAAAACTGAATGAAGATCGAGTTGCAGACTCTCCATTCTCTCAGAGCTTTATTGCAATGGCAGTGAACCTCGGCAGGATGGCACAGTGTATGTACCAACATGGAGATGGGCATGCTTCTCAAGGCAGTGCGACCAAGGAACGCATATTGGCATTGCTCATTGAGCCCATTCCTCTTACTTAGACACTAGGATTACCCGTGCAAATGCACGATTAGTGTGTAAGATTAAAATAAGTGACTTAAATGTAAGGCCAATTCCATAAGGCCATTTCTTTTTTCTTGCAAAGCGATAACGGACTGTATTCTATCTTTCTGATTCTTGACCCACAAAGGTGGTGCCTTGTTCATTAGCTTTGGATTGGGGATTTAGATGAGAAAGAAAGATGGAAAATATTCATGGGTGGAAAATCTCTTACCCAGGTGGAAAACTTGTCTAAACTGAACAGGCTTATAACATTATCCCCTTTTATTGTTTTTCTTATGGAGATTCGTAACATACAAAGTGTTTCATGTATTAATGACTGCAACACAAATTTCAGATGCAAGTAATCATCCACTAATTATGTACCACTTAAACTCGAATTTTGTAAGACTAAAGAGACTCGAAACTCACAGACGGGTAGATTTACATTTCACCCATAGTTCCATCGCTTACCTAACATGTTCAATGAATAACATTACCCTTTTGCCAAACTGAGCGGGGGAAGCTTTGTCCAAATGACCTAAAGCTTAGGCAGCTTGCCCAACTTTCATAGACTGAATGTGAGAAAAATCAATATAGATCAAGCCATATTACAAGCTAGTATCTGAGGATACACTCGCAAACTGCAATGGTAACCATAACACACTCTAGAGACAAAAATAAGAAAGTGCTCACAGAAGGTAAAGGGGCAACAACCCAATGCCATCTACAGCCTGAAAGAGGCCAGAGTGTGTTGTTGTCCAAGCCGTCTCTTCCGAAGCCGTTCAGCAATTATGAAGGCAAGCTCTAAAGATTGAGAAGCATTGAGCCTTGGGTCACAATGGGTGTGGTAGCGTGAGCTCAGATCATTGTACGTAATAGTTCGTGAACCTCCAACACACTCAGTCACATTCTGTCCAGTCATCTCTAGATGCACTCCGCCCGCGTGGCTTCCTTCTTGATCGTGCACATCAAAGAAAGCTCTCACTTCAGCCTATCAAAAAAAAATGAAACATAAGAAACTATACACCACCTGCTTTTCTCCTACTCCATAGAAAGAGAAAGGGAAATGACCAGAAGGACCATAATTATAATTTTAAATCACATCACAAATCAAGTTCCCGACCATATAGGCTACGAAACAAAACACTGATGGCTGTTGAACACCTACCACGCTTTGAAGGAACCTTAAGAGACTATTATTAACAATTGTTTACGACAAGCAGATAACATTTGAAGTTCAAACACACCCACACGCAGGGTAATAGTTGTTCTGAAGTTATATTTCGTTCTTTACCTATTTGTGAAGTGATGTAATTATGATCTGGGCCAGAAATGCCACCACTGGGACCCTCAAAAATGAAAGAATCATCAACAGAAGGTTTGAAAATAAAATAATTAACAGCTACTTTTAAACTTAGTGTGCACTGTGCAGCAATGGAATGAAAAACTAGACTTAAGAAATTCCAAGCCAAATGTTCCGTTGCAAACGTAATATGATATGTACTCAATAAAGCTTGCAAAACATAATAACAAGAAATGTTCACTTGATGACATACCCTGATTGCATCAAAGGAACGGGTTTTGAGTCCACAAGGAGCTTTTATGGTGTTCCCATGCATGGGATCGCTGACCCAAGTGACAATTTGACCTGCTCTACGGACTGCCCTAATCAGATAGGGAAGCTTCACTCTCATGTTCTCAGCTCCCATTCTGGTAATCACTGTTATTCTTCCTGGTTTGTTCTGAGGATTCAGAATGTCAATGAGCCTAACCAGCTCATTTGGATCCATCTTATCACTCACCTGAATTTAGAAGCCAAATTAAACTTCCAGATCTTTCTTTGGACAACGCATAATCAAACTGAAACTGAGTTCATCACTTCAAAACACAAAACGATGGATATAAATAAAATCGCAAAACATGAAGTCCTCTATTAAGTAATTGATCAATATCAACAAAAACAAGTCAGTTTTCTCCTATATAAGTAGTAAAAATATCAAGTTGAAGGAAAAAAAAAACAAATTAGAATGAGTAATCTGTTAGGCATATCATAACAAGAAGTCAAAAACACCTTGATGCCAAGAGGATTGGCAACCCCTCTTAGGAACTCAACATGGGCACCATCTAGTTGACGTGTGCGTTCCCCAACCCAAATCATGTGAGAGGAACAATCATAATAAAGGCCAGAAGTTGAATCCTCCCTTGTCAGTGCCTGCTCATAAGGCAAGAGCAAGCACTCATGAGAAGTCCAAAACTTTGTTGTGGCCATAAATGGGTGGTTTGCTGCAAGTCCAGCAGCAGCCATGAAACCAAGGGCCTCATCAACACGGTGAGCCAGTTCACGGTACCTGTCAGGTGAAGCCAATCATAAACATTTTATTCAAGAGAACTGAAAATTCAAAAGTCCATTAAAAAAGTTGAATCAAATGAACTAAACTGAATTAGGCGAGTGGACGATATACCTATCACCCTGCTCGCTATGCTCAGTGAAATCAAGATTCCACTGTGTAACCCTCTGCATAGCAGCGTACCCTCCAGTAGCAAAAGCCCTCAGAAGGTTCAGTGTTGCTACAGATTGTGTGTAAGCCCTGATCATCCTATGGGGGTCTGGAATTCTTGACTTCTCATCAAATGCATCCCCATTAACATTATCTCCCCTGTAACTTGGCAGCTTCACCCCATCCTTCTCTTCAAATGGATCTGACCTCGGCTTTGCAAATTGACCAGCCATTCTTCCCACCTAATCAATCACACTCACAGTTGTCAACCCTTTATCTCAAAGTCATCATCTACAGTTTCTAATGTCCCATGAGTAGAAGGACAAACTTAAATCATTTAAATTTCAAAAAATTAATGATTATGAGGAACAATGCAATATCAGCAGCTTTCCGATGCTATCCTGTCTATTTCTAGTAACAACAAATAATAACGGATCTAATCTCAATTTTTATATGCACCTGCTATTTTCACCGTATGCCAAAGATACTTGTAATTTCTGAACATCCATCTATATCATCTAATGAAGATTATAAAAATCATTGCCTAAGGCTTAATCAACTGAAACACTTATGAATAGCTTCAATGTCACTATCTCAGCTTTGCATATTGACCCACGTTTCTTCCCCACTGAAAGATCAAAACCATGATTTCTACCATTCAACCCAAACTATACCTAACCTTCAAAACCATCCAGTAGAATAAAAACGATAATGAATCGAGACAAACAAAATCAACCTTGATCATCTTTTAATAATGGTCAACAAGTCATTTCTAACCTATAAAATCATACCCACAATGTTTAATCAACCAACTTCCTCAAATCATCCAAAAAATAAATTCAAACAAACAAAAAACAGCTCTAACTTCATCAGAGTCTAGTCATTCCATGTCAATTCCAATTCCTCAAATACATCCATATTCATACTAAAACCTCATTTACACAAATATATACTTTTTTCCTCAAATCACCAAGTTATTCAAAAAATAATATAAATTTGAAAAAAGAACAGAGAGAATTGAAGAACCTTGATGACAGGCATTTGTCCACCAAACATGAGGACAACACCCATCTGTAGAAGAACCCGAAACGTATCTCTGATGTTATTGGCATTGAATTCCTTGAAACTCTCAGCACAATCACCTCCCTGTAACAGAAAAGCATTCCCAAGTGCAGCTTGACCCAATTTCTCCTCAAGACTCCGAGCCTCGCCGGCGAACACTATCGGAGGGAACGATTCAAGTGTTTTGAGCACTGCCTCAAGGTCGTCCTTATCCGGGTATTCTGGGAGTTGGGAAGCTTGTTTGGATTTCCAGCTATCAAGACTCCATTTTGGAGGTGATTGGTCGATGGTGGAAGTTGAATTTGATGAGTTTTTGGCGGGTAAGTCGGCTGATTGGACGGCTGAGATGGGTTGGATGATGGGTCTTGTTGATTTGGGTTTAGAAGTTGTGGGAAATTGGGAGAGGAAGGTGGGTTTGGAAGCAGAAGGTGGAATTAACGGTTGTTGGGGTCTGAGGAGAGATTGGCATGATATAGCAGAGCAACTGGTGGTGGTGGTAGCCAGAGCCATGGCTTTCTGTCTATGATATTTTTCCTAGAAGAGAGAAAGAAGTGGATGGATTTGGACAGAGAGAGAGAGCGAGAGATTTTATATGAGAGATTGGCATGATATTGCAGAGCAACTGGTGGTGGTGGTAGCTAGGGCCATGGCTTTCTGTCTATGATATTTTTCCTAGAAGAGAGAAAGAAGTGGATGGATTTGGAGAGAGAGAGAGAGATTTTATATGCATTGTTCTACAAGTGATGGAGAGTGCAGCAGAGAGATGGGGTTTGATATAAATGAACCTAATCATTGAGATGAGCAATTGGCATAATGGTAATCGCCCCGCTGTTAAACATTAAAGTGGTTGATTTAAATTTCGTCATCATAATCATCTCTATTATCTATTTACAATTTTACATAAGTGGAGTATTTAGGATGAATTCAGACCATGATTAACCTTGAATATTTCATTCAAGTTTCATATATTATTTTTTTCTATACTTGGGCTTGGCTTTAAAATGATGATTTTTTTTAATTTGTTTATATACATATCAACTAATTTTATCATTAATCCAGTCAAAGACAGGATATCCACGTCAGGAGTAAGATATTCATGAGAGATAAATCTCTCGTAACTTAATCTAAGAGATTGTTAAGATTTGAATTTACAGGTCGTCTTTATTATAACTTGAATTATCCTTAGAGTCAAACCATGATTAAACTAATGATTAAATTTGTTTAAAGATAACTCGTACTTAAAGGCACAATACAACATAAGTTGAAAATATCGGATTGACTTATTGAAATATGTCTTTGACAACATCAAAATCACGTCTTTATCTCCCATGTGCCATAAAAATGTAAAGTCTTATGTAATACGTGATGTATGGATAGGAATGAAGCTCAACAACTTTAACAAGTAATTGTTTGAGCATGATTTATTTATTAAACGTATTTTAAAATTAAGCTCGAACTTGATTAGTTTATAAATAAACTACGTTGAACTAACTTTGAGTTGATCCCATATTATTCATTAATAGTCCAATCAAAGCACACATCATATTGACATCTAATTAGAAAGTATGAATTGTAACAACTATTGATAAAAAATAATCTAATTTATTAGTAGTTCTAAGTTGATGAATTCAAGTATAACGGCAACATTACGTTGTTATTGTTATATGATTCTACCAAGAACCTATGGACGATTCTATTAGGAGCGACGATTTTGCCATTATATCTCTGGAACTCTTTTAGCCCACCCTTCCATCAAGATTCTATAAACCATAAACCCAAAAAACCATCATTTCTAAGAACGGCATTTCACTGCAGCTTTTGATAACTTGAATTCCCCTTCTTTCTTTGTCTGATTCGATGGGGAGATCTCATTGAGTTTTTATGTTTTCATGTCTACAATTCAATTCATCCGATTGTTATAGGGATGAAACCAATTCGGAATATGAACCATTAAGTGTTGTGACTCTGTTCTGAGCAGCAAAGGAATTGAGGAAGGCTGGCATAATTGAAATTCCAATTATTCCAAAACAATCTCAAATGCACAGAGAAACAGCAGCATTTTTGACACCACTGCTTGGACTTGGAGCATACACTACAGGAAACTACTTTTTTTTTTGGATAACCTAGGAAGACCACCAATCGAACCCATTTGGACTCATGTCCGGTAGTTAATTTGAACCCACATCCAAAGTCTCTTCTCCACGAATAGAAGTTAAATCTAGGAGATGTGGGTCTAGAGAATATTTTCACTTTATAGAGTATCAAACTTTTAACTAATATCAGTTTAAGACATCTATCAAGTGGTTGACTATTACTTGAATTAATCCCTCGGCGTTAACTACTTGATTCTATAGAATTATACGAAAATATAAATCACACTACCATAAAATAATCGACAAGAAGTCGAAAAAATAATACAGAAAAACAGCATGGAAAAGCAAGCATCATATATTCGATGTTAACCATCAAGCTCCACGTAATGCTCAATTATCACACAATTATCACTTGAAAAGAAAGGGAATGGTAGCCCATGTACGGTGATTAAACCTAAGAAGAAAAAAGTAATAAATTGAAAGTCGAGTTTATGCCTATTTTAATTAATTTTTTTTAATTTAATAAAAAATAAATTATTTAAAATTAAGATATTAATAAAGAATAAATTTTTAATTATTTTTTGAGTTTTATTGCTATCATCCCATCCCATCCCACCCACTCCACTCTTTGTTGTTGACAGCCACCACTAGTCACCATCACCCCTCTCTACACCAACAACCGCAATCACTAATCATCCTCACTATCATTTTACCTTTGTCTGCATCTCCACATATGTACGTGTGCATCTAGGGGTATTTTAATAATTGTAATATAAATTAACTTGTTATTATCGCCCGTGTTAGAAAATACGAAGAAATATAATATTCGAATGTTTAAAAAACTAATTTTGCTACACCAAATTATAATTTTTTATTTTTTTTGTTTCTTTGACTACATCATTTTAAATTAATTTTTGCCTATTATTTTCTTAAAAATAATATCAAAATTTTCTCAAAATATATAATTCGATAAATTTTTTTTAACATATATACACTATCGTATATGAATAATATATAAAATAAAATTTATGTTAAACTATAAATTAATTAAATATTAAATAATTGAAAATATAACAAAATTGAGTAAAATAATATTTTTAGGAAGAAAACATATATGAGATAAAGATTCAAGTCACAAACTAATTTATTATATAGATATTTTTGATTTCCATCAAAATATATGTTTTTATAGTTTATTTTTTATTTAAGTATTTTTTTTATGAACATCTAAATGATATTTATTCAATAAATATTTTTTGTAAACCAACCAAACACATTTTTTATAAAAGTATCTTCTTGTGAAAATCCAAAGTAATTATTTAATGTATCCAAAATTTACTCATGGAGGAATGGATCTAAAGTGGTCCAATCTTAGTGAAGTTTCTCGTTACCCAAAAAAAGAGTGTTAAAAAGTGTTGTGACTATCTCACATCGGATAGTTTTAAGGAATGTGTGTGTGTTTATATGTCTACTATGACTCTCATACTATTAATGTGAGTGGTTGTAGTTTGATCAAAAAAAAAAAAAAATTAGAGTCTAATGGGGCCCTTCCTCCGTGAGACAAGTGCCTTTAGGGCCACTGTGTCTGGGACAGTAGAAGCTGGGCTATCCCATATCGAATAGTCTTAAGAAGTGTGTGTGTGTGTTTATATGTCTATTATAGCTTCTACATTGTTAGTGTGTGTTTAATTAATAAAAATGTAATTTTTACAAAATATTTCTAAATATTAATAGTAATTAGAAATTTTCTTCTTTTGGTAATTACAATATAATAACTATTACAGTTAATTAACTATTTGACTCTTAAATTTTCCTTTTTGTGTTAACCAAGTCCATAAATTATATTTTGTGTTAATTTAATTTTTGAACTATATATCTGCCGTTAAATTTTATGGAAATTATTACGTGCACATTATATAAGTCAGAAATTAAGTTTTAGTTTAGAAATCATGTGATGTGCGTGTGAGAATTTTTATCAAAGTTAATGGCGAATTTGAATGGAGACCCACATTGATCCAAATTATATAGTTCAGGGACTAAATTGATACATCACATAACTCAGGGGTTTGATTAACATAAATACTATAGTTTAAGGGCTAAATATATAGTTAACTCTAACTATTATTAGTAAAAAGTGAAAATAAATGCATAATAAAATATGAGAGAGAGTAACAGAGACAAAGAGAGAAAATCAGAGTTCTCTTAAGAGCATCTCTAACCATGATTCAAATTTTTACTCAAATTTAAATTAATATTTGAATAGAAAACTTGATTTGATACAAAAAATTCTAATGAATAAATTCAAATTTAAAGAATGAGAAACTTAAATTTAAATAAGAGTAAAAATGATTATTAGATCTTTAAAAGATAATAAAATCTCACAATTAAATATTTGAATAAGAATTTGAGTCTTCCTTAATTTGAAGAAAAAAAATTGGGATTAATTACAAATTGTATCATGAAAAATCGTTTGAATCTCAATTTGCACCCTCAAATATACAAATTTATATTCATGTGCACCCCCAAATATGAAAAATCTCAATTTGTACTCTCAAAAATAGAAATTTATATCAATATGCACCCCTAAAGATAAAAAATCTCAATTTACACCCTCAAAGATAGAAATTTGTATCAATATACACCTAAAACTAAATTGATAAATTATATCTAGATTCCTTTATGCTAGTTAATTAATCATTTGGAGTTCTTTAGATTTAAAATATTACTCTTACATCTCATGACATTTGTGCACGTGTAACACGTAATCCTTTTTCGTTGATATCTGTTAATATAACTGTTAAAAAATATGATTTTATCATAATAAAAAATTATAATTTTATATTACCTTTTATTTTATGGGTCAAATATATTCTAAAGTTTAAAATCAAGCTTACCATTTGAATGTCTAACAGAATAAAGGGTTGCACGTTGAGTGATATATTATATTGGATATAAAAAATATTATATAAATATCTACATTTTATTGGACATTCAAATGGTAAGCTTGATTTTGAACTTTAAAATATATTGGATCTACAAAATAAAAGGTAATATAAAATTATAATTTTTTATTAGAATAAAATCATATTTTTTTAACGGTTATATTAACATATATTAACGAAAATGGGTTATGTGTTACACGTGCACAAACACCGTGAGATGTAGGAGTAATATTCTAAATGTGAAGGAGTCCAAATAATTAAGTGACAAACATGAAAGGATATAGATATAATTATCAATTTAGTTTTAGGTGCACATTGATACAAATTTTTATCTTTGAAATACAAATTGAGATTTTTTATCTTTGAGGGTCCACATTGATACAAATTTCTATTTTTTAGGGTATAAATTAAGATTTTTGATTTTTGGGGTACATATTAATACAAATTTATATTTTTGAGAGTATAAATTAAAATTTTTGACCTTTAAAAATCTAAATTGAGATTCAAACTATGTTTAGAACGTAACTTGCAATTAACCCGAAAATTTGAGAAAACGTTGTAGCAAATTTTTAAAATTTTTTTATTCAAATTTAATTTTAAACCTAAATTTGAGTCAGGTACGAAGATCCCCGACAATTCTCGTCAACATCCCCGGTCTTTTCTCTTTTCACCTTTCTCTCTCTTCCCTTTACACTCCATCTTTCAGATCAGATCTAAAAAATTCTCACTTCCAAACCTTAAAAAAAAAAATCAACAATGGCAACCCCAGCTCCATCACGACGCGAAGAGTTCGTCTACATGTCGAAACTCGCCGAGCAAGCCGAACGATACGAGGAAATGGTGGAATTCATGGAGAAAGTCGTCGCCGCCGTCCCCGATTCCGACGAACTCACGGTGGAGGAGCGAAACCTCTTGTCCGTAGCTTACAAGAACGTGATCGGAGCACGGAGGGCGTCGTGGCGGATCATATCGTCGATCGAGCAGAAGGAAGAGTCCCGTGGAAACGTCGATCACGTGAATGCGATTAAGGAGTATAGGGCGAAGATTGAGGCGGAGTTGTCGAAGATTTGTGATGGGATTTTGAAGATTTTGGACTCGAGGTTGGTGCCCAGTGCGGGTTCTGGGGACTCCAAGGTGTTTTATTTGAAGATGAAGGGGGATTACCATAGGTATTTGGCGGAGTTTAAGACTGGATCGGAGAGGAAGGAGGCGGCGGAGAACACGCTCAATGGCTATAAGGCAGCACAGGTTTGTTTTTTCTGATTTTATACCCATTTATATGAATAGTTTCTATATCTGAACATTTGATCTGATTATTTTTGTATTTGTGAAGTATTGCTAAGGTTCTTCTTGGATTTGTGCTTACTACAATAATGCCTGGAACTGTGGCGGTATGGTGATCCACATTATTTTATTTGTGAATTGTTGTGGGATTTAAGAGATTGGCTACAATTGGTAATAAATGGATTGTATGTTTGTCGGGTTTGTTTGGGGGTTGTTACTTTTTTTTTTCTCTGTCTTGCTTATTGTAATTGAATTCTGTGCATTTTTGTAACATTCCGTCGGTAATTAGGCATTAAAATCGCTTTAGTTCAACATCAATTCAATTTGGCCAGGTTAGAGTATTCATGATTTGCACGTCTATTTGTTTACTGAGTTCTGGGTTATGGGTCTTCTTATCATCACGTAACGATTTTGAGTTTTACCTTGTAATATAATAAATGGTTTTTAGGGATGTTAAAGCACCTTCTAATGTCATAAATGGTTTTTAGGGATGTTGAAGACTATGTTCTTTGACTGGTGGAAGTTGGATTTTTGAATTCTAACCAACTCTTGGTGTTAAATTTTGCATGGATTTGTACAGAGCTGTGAGTTTACTTGATCTTGCCTTTTAGGGCATGTGAAATGAAGGGATGTGGGGTTTCAAAGTCACAAAAAGATTATAAGGCTGAACAAGTATCCTTCTTTGCATGGAGTTCAAATTACTCCTATCACTTTTTTATTTCTAATCCACCTATATAAAGCTCACATTTATATTCGTGCATCCTGTGGGAAGGTAATTTAATCTAGCTGTAAGTCTAGACTTCGTCATTTTATAAATCCGATGCAGCCTTATGTCAGTTAATGAAATTTTAAGCTTTGTGCCTTTATTCAAGTTGCTAGAGGGATATATGTGAGTGTCGGATTCATCTAAGTGTAATTTTATAGCTACTTGAGGCATGATAAGTAAGTTATTCTTTGATAGTGACAACTATCCTTGAAAACTCCCAAAAATTAAAATTTTGTTTCGAGACATTATTTTGATCACCTAGAAAATAGAAACGTTTCGATCAATTTTATAATTGTTTCGACCTTTTTTGAAAATAGAATGAAAATAAATAAAATAATTAAGAATTATTTTTAAAACGTTGGTCGAAATATACTAAAGTATCTTGAAATAACTTGAAAATTTTTGAAACAATTGTACAAATACCTCAAAACATTATAAAACACTTTGAAATATTGGAATTTTAATATCATGATTGATTTATTTTGATCTCTTTGAAAACGGAAATTCTTCGGTCATTTCGAAACGAAAATTTGATCCTTAAAAACTCCAAAAGTTAAGTCTTTTGGTTTGACATGGGTTACACATGAAAACAGTACGAACAAATTTGTAGTATCCAAGTGGCATAGCTCATTCATTTAGTTGCTTGGGGTTCTTGTTCTAATTTAAACCTTGTTATGAAGGTTGTTCCTCATTTATGGGAAATTTTATCTCTAGGTTATTAGAATTGTTATAAATGTGTTGCGAGTTAAATTAAGATTAGTGGTTTTTTTTTTCTTTTTTTTTTCCTTTTTTTGATATTATGTTTCCTTATTGATGCTCTATTGTTTCGTTTCTTTTTTATCTCTATTTTCAGGATATAGCAAATGCAGAATTGGCTCCAACGCATCCAATCCGCCTTGGATTGGCTCTGAACTTTTCTGTTTTTTACTATGAAATCTTGAACTCTCCTGATCGAGCATGCAGTCTAGCAAAACAGGTGGGGAGCTTAGCTTTGAGTTTTTAGGTTGAAAGACTTTTTGATGCGCAACTTTTCCTTTGATCATAGAGAAATTTACACCTGGTCTTGATTCTGTGTGGTCTATTATGTGTGTATACCTAAATGCTTTTACCTGTGTGTTTGCAATACTCTTTCACTAAAATCCAGTATTGATATCGAAAGGACATAAGGTTGCCTTGCTTTGAACACTTCATTGAAAGGTCATTTGATTTGATGCGCAATGTCTATTAGTTTTGAAGACGACATGTACATGCATATGCACACTGCTCAGACATACATTAATAAACATATATACATGTGACAAATATATGTTTGTTTATATTTTCTCTGTTCATGTTTTAAATGAGTTCTCTCTCTCTCCCCTATTTAAGTTGTTAATGTGACCATTTCAAGTAGATTCCATGTTCATGTAGCACATGTTAGAACACCACTTTTTTGCTTTAGTGTGTTGTTTTGTATCTTTGTATCTTTTTGTCGTGTGCAGTTCATCAATCAGTTGCAGCATTATCCAATGCTTGTTTGTTTTTCATCAGGCTTTTGATGAAGCCATCGCGGAGTTGGATACGCTGGGAGAAGATTCATACAAGGATAGCACTCTTATAATGCAGCTTCTTCGTGACAATCTGACTTTGTGGACCTCAGATATGCAGGTTTTGATTCAAGTTTATTTTCTTGTTAATTTTTGTTACTCATTGCCTCGCATTTTCCTTTCAATATTGAAATTTTTAATAAGTTGGTGGCCTGTATGCAGGATGATGGGGGCGATGAAATTAAAGACGCAACCAAGCCTGAGCAGTAGTTGCATTTTTCACATTAGTACTTTGTTTCTACTTTTTCACTTTTTGATTGAAGAAGTTGTTTGCAATAACATTCTAGTGTATGAGTTTTTAGGAGTTAGTGCCTTGATTTTATGATCTTTGGTAATACTGAAATTTGATGTTTTTATTGTAATTCATGAGAACAGGAATACTTTTTATTGATTGATTGCCTTAGTATCCCAGTTGTTACTACAATTGTGTTTGGTGTCCTTAGCTCAGACTTTGGAAGGTGTGTGTGTTTGAAATATGCTTCATCCATCTGGCTTCCAATTCTTTGTTGTTCTTGAGTGGGCATAATACAACCAAGCAAGAAATTAAATTTCGTTTCGTTTCAAAATAGTTGAAACGTTTCTGTTTGCAGGAAAATCAAAAACGCAATTTTGACCCTTACAACCACGGTTGTGGTGTTGGGGAATCTCTGAATGGTTACCAAAATCTGCTTGTTTTAGGTAAATTGAAGATGAAGGTTTGAAATGGCATGGTGCGGATTGAGGGACGGAAACTGTTAATTCTTGTAGTTCTCGTGGTCAACTGATGATATTTGTGAAGAATTAGATTCAAAATGAGTAGCTGGTCATTAATCAAGACATGAGAGGTCTTTTTTACTCAATGGGCCCAAATTCTATGGAATTAACTATAAGTCAAGCTGGTCGATTATCAAAGGAAAGGTCGGTTCAAATTTTATGATAGGCTGAAAACCTTCTACAGTTAGAGGGCGTGGGTCTAGTAGAAAGTAAGGAGCTCGCAATAGCTAAATTATGAAAAATTCATATACTTTCAATTTATATTATTGTTTATTTTTAAATGATGCACGTGCCTTTTTTTTTTTTTGTTTAATTTATAAAGTTGTATAATTAAAATGATAGAATTAAAACTTTAAGCATTAAAGGGCAATAAATGAAATTTTAAGGACTACTAGTACAATTTACTCTTTAATAAACCAACGGTGTAAATCCCCCAAGGCTAAAGTGCAAGAAGCTAAATTTTTTTTTTTTTGGTATAACAATGAAGAGTTAAACTTGCTTATGAATATTTTGATTAATTTCTTCTTAATTTTTGGTTAAAGATAAATTATTTACACCAAAATTAAAAATTCAATCTTTCAAGACTTGGTCAAACTCAATATTATGGTGAAAATTCGGAAAGAGAATTTCATTTTATCCTTTGAAAAATTTTGCCCAAAAACATACAAATAATTAAACGAAAATAAGACGGTAGACCATATTATAGTATTTTTTATTCTTGAAGAGATAATATGAAAAATTAATTATTTTAGAAGACAATTAAATTTTTTGTATCTTTTAGGTGATAAAAATGGGATTTACCAAAGTTTGGAAGGT